AGTCTTTAGGGTGAATCTCAATAATTATCTGTACTGACTGTTCTGAAAATTTGTTGATGGTGTTGCTATAGGAACATGAAGAGGTGACCAAAAGCATCTACTACTTGAATCTGTTTAACTACATTCAAAATCCACTTTTTACCTCATGCTAAGTGGTGCCCTACTCCCCTCATACTGACCTCACTAATCTACATCATACCACATCTAACCCCAGTTTGTAGGAAATTTACAGCACTGTCCACTATTGTAGCATCATCCCACCTAATATCTCATCAGTAATACATCCGGAGATTTTGTCGTTTTTTCCCCATTCATCTTATTCAAATCTCCTCCAGAGTAGCTGGTAAACATGCACGTCCACCATGGTCACAGTAAAACAGAATGGAACTTTCTGTTAGCTGCCGTGTTTCCTATCACTATACAAGAGAAGCTCCATGCTGCCTTTATTGTTGGATGCATTGTGATAGTTCCTGACCGCGCATGCACACAATCATTCGGAACGCAAGCTATGGAAACACTTATTATTCGTTTCATCAAAGCAACAATATTTGCTGACTGCTTGCACAAATTGTACTATAATTATATATAAATTGATTCCATTTTGGCCTTTGTTAGATCCTGTATTTACTTTCATATGGAAAGACACAGCTTTGAGAACCCACTTTAAAAAGGAGAAGAGCAGATTAAAAGGCAGGAACGGTTACTTCTTGGTCGGGGCACGAAAGAGTTAATGCAATAAAAGCCTGTGCCCAACATCTTATGGTCTACGAAGAATTGCGAAAGATGCAATTCGCCTGAAGACATAAGTCATTCAGACAGGCACACACAAACACAAATGCAGCTGAAGAGCCTCCTTTCTTTCCTTCCCTGGACTTTGACCACATTAAAGCAAACGAAAACCTCTGTTTTTTGCTTTGTGTCGTTTACTCATCGCTCTTAAATGGATGACGCATCCTAAACTGTCCTAGTACACTGGATTATGATCACACTTAAGCAGTGATTAACAGCTGCTCTGCTTTGGTCTATGGTGTTTTCAAGCAAACCCTTCAAACACGTAGGTGACTGAAGACACTGGCTGAGCTGAACGTCAGCTGAACTGCTCTCAAAGGGACTTGGTTCATATTTACACACAGGATAAATCTGTACTCTAAAGGAGAAGTTGGTGAAAAATAAGGTTTGAATAAAAACCTGCAATAAACTCTTCTAGTACTGGATGATCTGGATGTCCTTGGATGTGTTTCAGTATGTTTTCAGCAGATCAGCTTAGCATTTCTCACGTGTGCACCTTAGAATAATATCTATAAGCAAAAATATTTGGCCATATTTCTATATGAAAGAGCTGCAATAACTGACTAAGCCTACATTCATTGTTCAACCTTTTATTTATTTATTTTTTTTTTTGGATTGTTCACATTTTCTTTTTAGCAGAGCACATATCTGACTCTAGTCTGAACAGGTCACACTCCTGACTCCTGAACTGACCTGCATGCACAAAAGAGCAACACTCCACCTGGAGTAAACAAACATCATGGACGCAATGCACGTTCACAGCTGAAAAGAATTCCTACCAGCACAGAAATATGACAAATCTGCCAAACTGAGTACATAAAACTTGCACTTATTCAGGTCTGACTGTTTAGGCAGAGGTCACACTGCCCCCATATACATTTCTGCCAACCTTGTCCTAAGAGAAATAGGGAGGTGGGTGATGGAAAACTTAGAATTTATTTAAAACCCTGAGCCACCAATCCTCTTACTCAGGCCATGAACTCTTTGCTCTCATTATTTATTTAAATAGAATTTAGCATTTTATTATTACAACGATATATAAATGTTTTGGCAACATATGCTGCCATCCAGACAACGTCTTTTTCAGGAAAGGCCTTGATTATTTCAGCAAGACAATGTCAAACAACATTCTGCATGTATTACAGCAGCATGGCTCTGTATTAAAAGAGTCCGGGTGCTAAACTGACCTGCCTGCAGTCCAGACCTGTCATCACTGATAACATTTGGCGCAGTGCGAAATAAAAAATACAACAAAGGAGACTCAGAACTGTTGAGCAGCTGAAATCCTATATCAATCAAGAACGTGAAAACATGTCACTATCAAAACTACAGCAGTGTCTCCTCAGTTCCGAAATGCTTACAGAGTGTTGTTAAAAGAAGAGGTGATGAAACACAGTGGTAAACAGGCCCCCGTCCTAACTTTTTTAGAATGTGTTGTTGGCATCAAATTCAAAATGGGCATATATTTTTCAAAAAAATTTCTCAGTTTCAACATCTGATATGTTGTCTTCGTAGTATTTTCCATTTAAAAATATGGTTTACATGATTTGGACATCATTGCATTCTATTTTTATTTACAATCTGCACAGCATCCCAACCTTTTTGGAAATGGGGTTGTATTATTATTATTATTATTATTATTATTATTATTATCATGATGAAATGGTTACCGGTTTCACGGTAAACCGCGGTAAAATTAATGACGGTTAGTAGTACCGTTTGAACTTTAAAGTATTTAAAACCGCAGTCGATTACCGTGGTGTGAAAAACTCGCTGTACAGAGTCAAACAAAGGCAGAATCATTCTCTCAGATGCAGCCCTGTGTGTGTGTGTGTGTGTGTGTGTGTAGATGGGGAGTGGGAAAGGGAGAGAAGGTAGAATATGGCGGAATGTAGTGACAGAGATTCGGAGATATTTCAGCCTTCTAAGAAGACCAAGTCTGATGTTTGGTCATGTTTTGGGTTTTATAAGGATGCAGAAGGAAAGTTAATTGAAGATGACCACCCTGTCTGCAGAACAGGCCGAAAGAAAATAGCGGCGAAAGGGGGCAACACATCCAACCTTACGAGTCATCTTCGCGACCACCACCCGCTACTTTTTAGAGAATGCAAGGTTAACTTTAACGGAGAGGTCTGTGGGGACTTCGAAATAGAAGAAATGTCATGGTTTATGTGGTTTAATTTACGCTTATGGTTCGTTAATAATATAAAATGAAACTTTTAGCGTCAAAAAAAACCAAAAAAAAACCATCGGTGAATCAGCTGTGAATCGAAACTAAAGCTTTTAACACACATTTATGTGGAGCAGAGTCTCCAAAATGAGCTCTGAGTTAACAGTCACACAAACTCTGGAACGAGACGCTGCAAAAGTTCAATCTGAAAAGCTCCCCTTTCTCACTTGCAGTGTGTACTTTCTGAGAAGAGAATAACACTGTCTCAAATCACTCAATGTCCCCTACATAGTGCGCTACTTTTCAAACAAACACAATCCTCATTAACAAGCAGCTGAGTTTTAAATAGGGGATTTGTAACCTGTTGTTAATGTTGATTATAGATGACTTAGTCGAACGTTTCACGCACTCTTTGGGTGAAGGATTTGCTATTTCATGATCCACGAAGTGCACTACATAGGGAAGATAGTGTGCTTTGAGGCGGGACTTCGCGCGAGTGAACGCTGTGTGCGTTTCAGAGTTTCAGAGATTAAACTTTAGGAGTGTTTATGCAGCTCAGATGTGCGTTAATTTTAAGTTATGTTTTAGTTTTAAAATGCTTTTAGAGAAGCAGCTCCACAGGTGAAGACACGCTGTGTGAGTTCTACACTGTCTGCAGCTCACAGCGCGGTCACGCAATTCCTCTGTGATTTTGGCTGTTTTTCCTGGTGCACTGTATTGATTAGGGGTACAGCGCCACAACGGCACAATAATGCTGCAATTGCAGTTCGGACAGAAATCCCCCGAGTGCAGCACTTCTTAGAAGTAATAATTTTCCATTAAGACCCACCTCAGAGTTGGTCGAGATTTAATTCTCTATGCAGGGAAATTCATAGTTATTGTACTTAATAATAATAATAATAATAATAATACAAATGTATTGACTATATTTTTTAATGTTTATGCAAACAAAAAGTGCATATTGCTGCCAATTCTATTTGTGTTAACATACTAATTGGTGAAACAAGTTTCAGTTTGTGTATCAGTATTTATTTATCAATTTATTTTACTTTTCAACACATTTGAACAATATCGCGATAATATCGATAATCATGATAATTTTGGTCATGATAACTGTGATATGAATTTTTTATATTATCATTATCATTATTATTATTATTATTATTGTTATTACTATTATTATTATCATTATTATTGTGTTGAGTCAGTTTATACAAGTGTACAGGAATATAAATTAGAAGGGTGCAAAAGCAAAAAAAAAACGTGTCCCAAGGGTAAATTATGAGAAAGGACAGCTATGCATATTAGATATGTATTTTAGTGCCCCATATGAAAGTATCCCAAATTTGAAATTAAAAAAGTCAGATTCAGCATTTTTGCTCCTCATCAAAAAAAAAAATCTCAGAAATCTGAAATAAATAAATAACCTGAGTGGATATTTAGGGTGTAATGATTTCAATATGAGAAACTGAATTTGAGTGACACCTCCTTTACTCTCTTCTGTGCATCTGTCTTTTACCATCTTTGTGGAAACCTCAGTCAATGATTAAAACTAGCTATCTGAGACCGTCCTATCAGAGTGAAGTGGGTGGGAAATGGGGGAGAGGCTGTTGCTAAAGACACACCCACAAAGAAAAGACTTGCCTTTTTTCTGAAGCTTATAAATTCTAAGGGTTTTGATTTATTTTGTTAGAAGGCTGTCACAGCAAGCTGGTTATATCGGAGATGCTATATATAATATCCTGGTTATATTTATCAAGCTGAACCAATCTGTGTCGTATATAATTACAGCTGTGAAATAAATCTTTAATATTGACAGTCAAATCGAAACTTGATCTCAGAACCTGAAAACGTGTATGATTATACCACTAGTGAACGCAGCTCGGTAGATCCAGGTGTTTTTCAGCTTGTAGAAAGTAAAAAGAGAACTTATGAGTGTGACATTTGGTTCTTGCACAAACACATACTGTTACAAACTCACTGTGGGAACAATCCATTTGGAGTAAATGTCCTTCATTGGCAGACGGCAGAGTTGACTTACATGGCCACGCCGAAGAACTCGTGCTTGGCCGTAGAAACGACGACATCTGCTTGGCACAGCGCTCTGAGGTAGTCCTCCTTACTGGGCATGAAACCCCAGTGCCGGATGTGGCTGACCAACTGTTCTTTGGCTTCGGCGAAGATGTCTACAAAGGACAGGGACAGAACATAAGTCTGAGACGTCGGCATCAGCGGAGGAGCAATTAGAGGAGAGAGGCAAGTTTCCGCTTCGGCCTGTAGTTTGTTCGGAAAATGAAAAACATGAGGCCATCATAACTTCGGACGTATAAAACGGGAAAGGGCAAAAATAATCAATAGTGATCCTATTAGCAAAATCAAAATGGATTAAAAGAGTTTCAGCGTGATTGCCTTCCGAGCAATCGTAAATATCATTTCGAAATATGAGCAACATTTATGGCCTTTTTTCCCCCTTGTAGCTGTTTATGCTACTATAAAAGCGTAGATCTCAATATAAGAGATTGTGATTCCTGTATGCTTCTCCTTGCCAATGCTGCTCTGTCCGTATAAATTAACCGAAGACAACACTATAAATTTCAAAGTCTGTCCAAAAGATATTAAAGCATAATCATCTACTAATGGAAGTGTATTTTACCAATGAAAATGGTTTGAGTGTTAGTCATACAGGACTAATGGATGATCTCTGAACTCAGAAGCTGTGTATTTAACAAACTAGTTACTAATGTCTTGATACAGTGCTGATGAGGGCAGCAGGTGGTAGCACTGAGGAAAATCATAATGTGCAATACTGTGCAAAAGTCAGAGGCCACATTTTAAGCATTATTTCCAGTCAAAATGACCACCAACTACAAGTTATTCATTTTTCAGTTAGAAAAAATACAGATAATTGCACAGAAAGCTCCAAAATTAAATATGATATGAGATTTTTCAGTATTTAGTGTGTCCACTCTTTACTTTTATTACAGCTTCCATTCTTTTCAGGAGCCTCGCTTTCAGTTTTTCAAGGAAATATGTAGAAGCTGGTTGCATTTTCTGCTTCTCACCATCCAAGTAATCCTAAACACATTTAGTGATGTTGAGGTCTGGACTCTGGGGTGGTCAGTCCATTGTTCTGAGAGCACCAGCAGCTTCTTTGTTTAATGAGTCTATTTTTCCTTTCCTCAGAAACAGTTTCTTGAGGAAAGCTGCACATGCTTTCAGACCCATAGCACTGAGTTGTCTTCCCACAGTGGAAGGATGGACAGAAACTATGGATGCACTGAAATTTTTTGTCTGGAAAAAGACTCATTTAATAATGATTAAAAACTCTCTGTTCTGGTCAGCATAGACACATTAGATCCTGCTGGAGTCTGTGGTCTTTTCTTCTCTTTAAATGAGACCATTTGAGCTAATTCTACAGTAATTTGGCCCCCTGGTGGAGAAACTTCCGACTGCTAAATGGGAGTTCCAAAGCCAGGTTCACACTCTTTACATTTAAAAACACGTGTTTTCTGTCGTTATAATTATAGGGAGGGACCTCATGACGGATTCTATTATTTTTATTTTTAATATTATTCAGCAGGCTGTTTACAATTAAATTAGTCCACTTGTTTTCTGTTCTCTTTCCCAACATGGTGATTATGGCCTTTGAAGTATCATTAGAATTATTTCACTAATTGAAAATCATAACTGAAAAGGCAAATTGTAAATAAAAACTCTTTCTTTCAGTTTTCGGGTGAGTGTGTCCTGAACTGCGAAAGAATTTGCATTTCAGTGCATCACTAACAAAAACAGCAGTAGTTTTTTCAGGACTGAAGCAAGAATGGAGCTTGATTGTCTCCTCTCTCTTAAAGCTGGAAGCTTTAAGTGCTGTTTATCTGATGGGGACAGTTTTTGGGGTCTACCAGGTCTTCCAGGTAGTTGTCAGGAGTCCCATTTTCCCTCTAGCTTTTAATTATTCATTTATTTTCATTCATTTGATTTTCCTTTTTCTTATGCTGATGGATTATCATATATAGTACTTAACAGCTGTTTTGTCACGTAACGGCTGTTTTGACTAGAAATTCAATAAATGAAGGTTGTGACTTTTGCACAGTACCGTATAGAAAATTTACTCCACTGAAAATGACTCAGAAACTAGAAGTAAACTTTGCGATGCTTCGACCTGTATGCACACATCTTTCTGAAATACGACTGCAAATGAAAACCTGCATCTCATATTGCCACTTCATTAGCGCCGCTGGGTGTGACCTACTTGAACTGACTCACGTCTGCCTTTCAGTCTAAGATTTTAATACAATATGCTCAATATAATATTAAAAATACATCTGTATGGCTTTGCATCTCATCTCTATAGGCCATGGTATACCTGGCACGTCGGTAAACGTTTCCCCGAGGACAGACACTTCAAAGTTCAGTTCCCGCTCTCTCAGCTTCAGCAAGGTCTGGAAGAACAGCTGAGGGTCTTTGTCATGTTCCCTTCAAACAAAGAAACAGAATATGAAAATCTCACAGCTACTACACCCTGAAATATTAAACTAAGGTATCAAAACAGAAGAAGCACTTCTAATGCCAGGAGGTAGCTACACAAAACCTGTGTACAGTATGATACATAGATATATGTGCTGCAGCTGTGCTGTACCATCAATTACAGACTAATACAGACTATTGCTTCGAACTGTAAAATACCATTAGTCACCTGCTATATTAATAACTTCTATTATCTAATTCAATAATATTTCATATGGTGTAGACTGAAAACACTAGAAGGCAATTTATTCAATGAACTTAATAGAAAATAAATAATATATAGCACCTATCTATTTATACAATGCAAAAAATCATATTGGAAAGTGAAAACATCTTAAATCTAGTGGATATATCTAATATTTCTCATTATAAGATGACTGCAATAACAATATAAGATTACTTAAACTATTTATATATATTTTTTAATGCAAATAATAGAAAATAAGGCACTGAAAAAGTGTCAATAATGACGCTTTCATTAAATTAAATTACTTAAAATAAAAAATGTTTAAACAGATAAAATAAACTTAGAATGTTCTTACACCAATCTTATAATGACAAAAAAATAGAAATCAACACTAGATTTAAGTACTAATTTCTTGATATCTGCCTCAAGATTTGATCGAACAGTTTAATGAGGCATTATGGATATGAAATTTATCATAACTTGATTCTCAATGCTGTATAGCTTTTTCAGTCCTTATGGAAACACTGAAAATGTTTTTTTTACAAATTAGCTAAAAAGCAGTTGTAGAGTTTGTAGCATCATATAACAATAAATGTACATGTATCTTCAACAAATTGCTTTCATATTATTATATTAAAATGTAGATGACAATGTGATATTAATCAGTGCTTATAACAAAAGAACAGAACAACAGAACTGACTCAAAACTACAGCTAAGAGCTAAAGAAGCAAACCACACATCAACAGATCGAGCACATTTGAGGTGAAATTGATTTTAATATCACCAAATACACGAGTCTGTATGTGGACCAGTGGGTCTTGCTATAATATCTGACCCCTAACGCAATGACATACTTGATAAGCATCTCGGAGCCAAGGCCACATGCTCAAAAAGAGAAATGAATGAGCTGGAAGTTATTCCCAAACGATGTGCCTGACGTTCCTTCCAGCAGTGAACGGAAAGGCCCATCTGAGCAGAACACAGGCGCAGTGCGGTCCACACTTCAGCTAGGCCCAAAAGAAGCTCCTCCGCTCGTTTTGGCGCTTTTCATTTCGCAGCTCATCTCCTCTTCCCAACACCGCAGAACAGGAACGAGCTTTCCTCGCTAAAAGTGATGTTTGTTGAAGGTCGAAGGCGATTACCGGAGGGGCCAGAAGCGCTTCGACAAAAGACACCTCCCACTTGGGCCGAATCTGCTTTAGATGAGGTATTAGTGGAGAGCTTATTTATCCTCATTTCCGCTTCTTTTATGTTGCCACGTCCCCCTGTGGCTCGACGCTGATTCCCTCATTAATTTCGCAGCCTCTTTTGATTCCCCCAACATTGTGTATGTGGCTTGTTACCTCCTCCGGTCTAAGACTGGTTGACCTGCAGTGAGGTGACATGGCAAACCGCGGGGATGCCTATTACCCGGCCTGTCATCCTCGTATATAAAAATGTTCTCCGTGGCGGCAGGACGCCTTATTCCCCACTGACAGCCTAGCAGAGGGTTAATTAATATGTCAGTTATGTTATGTAGGGATTGCAGGGGCTCAATATGCTACTGACACTTTGAGGAGTTGGGAGAGCGCACACCCGCACACGAGCAGCACACATACACTTACAGTCACATAATGTCACTGCCAGTCCTGCAGATCATTGTGCTAGACTGAGTAGTAGACTCAAGGCAAGCGTGTCACTTTGTCCGCTTGGTGAAAAATCAAATTTAAAAATGTCTCCCTTTTCCTCCAAATGTAGACATGTTTGATGTAAATTTGCATCTTTAGTTTTGCACTGGAACTACAAGGCTAATGTACAGCTGTATGCAAAAGATTTGGGAAAAAACTAACAGTAACTGTGACGTGTGCTAAAGTTTGGGCATCCTTGCATTTGTACTCAAATTAATTAATTAGGCCTTAACTGACTTGTTAGGACTGGTTAGGAGGGCTGAGAATTGTCATTAGTAACTGTCGGCTGATGACCATTCCAGAGCATAATAAATTCTCTGACTCTTCAAACTTTGTGCTAACAGTCAAAATCCATGGGCCCCTCTAAGCAGCTGGCTGAGCATCTGAAAATAAAGCTAATTGATGCCTACGAAGCAGGGGAAGGCTATAAAAATGTATCAAAGCACTTCCAGCTTACAATTTCCACCATCCAAAATGCCATTAAGCAATACCAGTTAAGGGGTACTGTAAAAGTCAAGGAAATATCTGGCAGACCAAGCAAACACTCAGATAGAGCTGCTGGCAAAAGCCCTGTATGACAGCAAAGGTCCTGTAGGGAGATGTATTGTCAAAGGAATGGTGGTGCATCATTCTACTGTGCAGCATTGCTTGAACATTGGCATGGAAGAGACCGTACCTGCTACCTCATCAAAGAAAATCAACTGAATTATGCAACATACCAGGTGGCTTTAGATAAGCAAAAGACATTTTGGAAACTCCTCTAAACAGCTGGCTGAGAATTTGAAAATGTAGCTAACTCTTGCCTACAAAGCAGGAGAAGGCTATAAAAAGGCACCAAAGTGCTTCTAGCTTGCAATTTCCACTGCACAAAATGATTAAGAAATGGCAGTTAAGGGGAACTGTCAGTGGAAGCAAAGTCAAGAAAGACCTGTAAGGCCAAGATAACTCTCAGATAAAACTGCTCGTATGCTGGCCACAAAGGCAAAGCAAAACCCCCATATGACAGCAATAGACCTGCAGGAAGGTTTAGCTGACATAGGAGGGGTGGTGCATCCTTCTTCTGTGTAGTACAAACATGACCTGCATGGAAGAGTCATCAGAAGGATCACCTTACCATATCTGTGACCTCAACACAGAAATCAACATCTAAAGAACGCAAAACAACAATTAGACAAGCCAGACACCTTGGAAACTTGCATCAATGTGTTTTCAGTAATCAGATGTTTAGATTGCATGAAAAGTAAGCCAACCCAGGACACACTGATCACTCTAACCACACTCAGAGATGGACTGCATTCAACACAAGTGTGTCTCCTTATTCATAATGCAGCTTATCCATGGTTTTCATACAGATCCTTCGTAACTTGTAACATGATGTTCATTATTTGAAATGCTTGAATGATAAATAGGTAAACTAGTGTAGATGTTAGAAGGTAGTGAGTGAAGGGGCAACGACATTTTCTTTTTTTCAGTCATTGAAAGTAATTTACTTATGGGAAGCCGACGGGGCATTACTATTTTTTTTTGCATTGGGGCCCATAAGATTCTGATTATGTCACTGTATATGTTGTGTAATGTATGCATTGATGTGCTTTTTGCGCTGGCAAGTAAAAACAGATCTCTTCTGGTCACACTGAGGACGCATTTTCGTTAACTGCAAATGGAAACCAGTCAAAGGAGTTCCAGATACAATCGTGACAGGAAACAAATGTTAATGCAAGGTGCAAATGAGCTCTGTATGCATCTACAACACTGGACAAAATGCAGGCTTCAAGACTGCACCTACAGCTTTTAGCTATGCAATGTACTCATGCCCAAGTTTATAAATAACAGTATGCAGGAGCTTTATAGCTTCAATGCAAAACTAAAGGAGCCAACTATGGGCAAACAATGTTTCAGATGCTTGAGCTAAATCTGTATACAATTGATTTAAACTTCAAACAGATATTTTTATACCACCTACCTCTGTTACAATATGGCACATCAAAGCAGAACAACCTAAAAACAGGGCAAAATATACCACACAACAGTGCACGCCACATTCAATTGCTTAGAATGACTATGGGCATTATGTAATGTTGTGACCTCTGCAACCCGTCAGAGGTTTTATGTCCCAAACGGACAGAAAAGCCACTTTCAGTTATTCTTATAAAACAGCCTTCACTTGATTTGTCACCCTTTGACCCCACAGCGCAACAAGATAGAAACCAAATAAAACAAATCAAGAAAAGCTCATTCTGTGGGGACCCTCATTAGCAGCCATCCTTTACCACTTAAAAGAATATCATCTTCTCATTTAGACAGCTATGATTAAATATTCCCCTTTAAGTCGCACCCAAGAGGTGCATTTTTAAAAAAATCTCGAGCTCTATTTACTGCAGGATACGCACTACGTTAAAGGATTGAAATCAAGGGGAAGTGAAAAGTGGTAATTAATGGGACACTTGAAAGCCCGGGCCCGGGTTATCTGGGGATTGATTAGGGCCAGTCGAAAAAACTCCACTGAGGGGAGGGGAGAAGGCTTCTCAAAAGAAGACAAAACAGACTACGTCCGTACGCGTCGTATTCCCGTACGAAGACGACGAGGGGAGCAGCATACAGTGCACATTTAATAGGCAAAATTAATGAGACCATAGAAGCGAGTGTGAAAATGAATAGTGTTGGTTTGTTAATATTAAAAAAAAAGGATTTTTGCTGTTATCTTCGTTGCTTCATTAACTAATCTTTCTTCTTTTACTAAAATTGTTTATAAACACAGTGACACTTATTCGTCAAAGTTGCACAGAAAGATTTGACCACAGATTTGACCACCCTAAATCCCCACCCCCACCCTAACCTCATGATCCAGAGCTTAAAATTGCAATAAGTGAAACTAACAAAATATGAAATGAACAAAATACAGCCTTGTTTTAGATGACAGAGTGATGTGACTGCATATCAGGATATTATTTTCATAAAACACTGGCTGCTTGAGCAATAATACTGCAGTACTATGGGGAGAGCTATGTTTTGTATTTTTATGGTGGGTTATAAAAGATGTATGTCGCTGTTTTCAGAAGAAAACCTCGTATCTCCAAAATGGTAACTTTGCAGG